GAAGACATAAATTTAATTTAAGGCATTGTGTGAAACACGTGCTGGTGTTTTCCAAATGTACTGTTTTGTTTAACGCTTGACTATGATAGGCGTTTAAGGAGTACGTACCACCCCATGTTTTTTATTACCTTTGTCACATGGGATGAGATGATAGGCTATACACTGATTCGCTTTTAGCAAATTCACATCCTATGTGCATAGGGTATCATCTTATACCACTTGAGCTTCGCAGAACGCCATCGCATCTACCACGTCCAAATGGCTTGTTGGCCATGGCCCAGCTGAAAGCCGGACCGATGTAACGCAGCTCTTACTTAAGCTGTCCGTGCTCGTTCTTAACACTCCTTCGAATTAACCACCATCCCGGCTACCTAGACAATGTATGTCGGTGATAAGTGCCAAGTCATAAATTCAGTTTTGGGCACTGCCATTCAGAAATCTGTCGCATGGAGGAAGTCAGAAGTCTGAAAAACAGGTAAAGGTGTTGAGCAAACCGTTTTTATTGAAGTCCAGTGCATAAACACAGTCATTTTTTAAAGTGACTGTGCAATGTGAGTACTATTTTGTTGATCGCACTAATGTCCCCGGCCTGAAATGATGTTAACTACCGATGTACAGAGAGGCTCAGAATGAACTGACCCTACGCTGTAGTCAACAGCGACAAATGTATTTCATAGCCATTAAGCCTATGGTAGCATTCAGACGCTTAATTAATTATAGAACTTGATACAAAAACAGTGATAGCCATCAGTGACTTTAAGTCGAAAAATCGTGCCAATGTGATAAGAACAAAGGTGATCAACCGCATGTCGGTGATAACATTTAATACATTTGGAACAAGTCAAAATAAACAGCACGGTGGATCATTTTGACTTTTTCAAATGCCTAGAGCATGATCATTCGCATGCGGATAATCATCGTTATTCAAATCACGTCTCGAATCATCCAGAGAACATTCGTATACCAAAAGACGTGGCTTCGCAGAGATCACGTCTCAGAGGTCAGAGGTCGCAGGCTCCTTTGAAGACGAGAGCGTTAATGTTGTCTAACCCCTCTCGGAGCGGTTCATTGGTATCTCTCCGATGTCCTTCCGCGCGACCCTGGGCCGACTTCCCGGGATCGTCCTGGACTAGAAGTAAGTTCGGCAGAACGGGGTGACACCGCACACGGCACGGACACCACTCAACCGGCTGGACCAGCATTCTCCTGGAAGGAACATCACCCTGAAGGCCCGCATGCGGAGGATCCCCCCCCCCCCGACCTGTCGCCCCTGGGATCCATGCAGTGGGGCTACAACAATCCCATGCCCACGCGGGCAAGCCAGCGAACCCAAAAAAGCTGAAGGCCGCCATCAGACCTGAGATGGGACACATCGCCGTCGAGAAGATGCGAACGGATGATGGCACGCCTGCTACTGCTGCATGTCTGGCTTGCCGCGCATCCTGGGGCAGCATCCGGCTCAAGTGGGACCTCTTCCGCACCATCACGATCGGATGGTGTAGAAGCATTCATGACTACCGCGCTGTTGGTCGCGTTTTGCGGTTGAAACGGCCGTCATTTACCACCAAGAACCATAATGGTGCGACCAGCGCTTGTGCCACTGCTTAGGAATATGTGGGTTAACTTATACCTAGGCCGACGTGCATTTGTTTTATTATTTCAGCTATTGCATATAACATTCCCACGCCAATGTGTCAATGCATAAAATAAATCAAAACAGCTATGTAACAAAATTGGAACAAGCAATCAGCATGTATGAATTTATTTTTGATAGTAGTCACAGCTGGGAGTGTTAAGCAGTGTACGCACTTGCAGATCCCTTCTTATCTTATCAAATACTGTCAGGTTCATGTCGTAGACGTCGGTCCTAGAGTCACTAAAGAAGTCCGACGACGACGGCAAGATTGCAAACTTCGGCATTTACTATGTCATTGGTTTCATTCAAGGAGAATGTTTATTAAACGTCGCGTCTTGTCCGCGTCGCGGCCCGCAAGCGTCTTGCTTTGCGTATATAATATGATTCTGAACTCTAAAAAAGTAGTGAGCACCTTGCTTGCTTTGCAAGGGTGGTCAGCGCATACACGACGCATCTTAACTCGGGCAGGAACGGACAATGGCCGCAAATAAAAGCACGAACCTGTGCGCCCGACCTGTGCTCGCCTTGTGGACCTTGTAACTGTGGCCGGTTCGCCCCCGTGCTCTCGCGCAGACGGCAAGATTGAGCGGTTTTGGAACGTGTTTCAGAACCGTTGTGTATCCGGGCGATCCGAGTTGGCAGCGTCGTGAAAACTTACTGCACCGCGCCACGTATCTGCCGTCTGCAAATCGGCCATTCAGACTCGTTTATTCAGACTCATTTGATACGTCAGACTCGTGGTGACACCGGCGGTCGACCGGAAGGCCACCCACATCGCGCTTTTGGAAAGCAACTTCGCTATAGCACGCTGGCACCTGAACCCAGCAAGCCGGCGCCGTGCATTTAAACAGGCCCTAATCCCGGCCCACGATGACCTGTTCTCCTCTACTCGTTGGCGTATATCCCGAGACTTTAATCGCATTTACCCGAAACGTTTGTCCCTGCAAGGTTCCCCGTTTTGCCCTATGCAAGTGGTGCGCTCATTCGTCATCGACCACGTATTGGCACTGCAGCTCTAGGCTTTGCTGGTGGACCTCCACGAGACTGTCAGACATGCAACTGGGCATTCGACAGGCGGCACGGGGTCGCAGCTTAATTGGGCAGGGGCGATTCTGCTGGGACTCGGAGACGACACGCGCCACTGATTCGCACTCCTTCCATTTACTATGGGTAGCTGACCAGCGTTTTCAATCAAACGACGCGTGGAGGACCATCCGGCGGCCTGGGACAGTGGCAGCGCGGGGCCAAAAGAAGTCAACTGAGAAAAGAGTATATTACCGTATCAGCCTGTATGTCGCTTCTGGTGCGCGGCTTGTGACACATAGTGGAACGCAATACTAATCGGCTAGCCTAACACGTGTTCTGATGAACTAACTGAATTCAAGCAATGCGACTGCAAATAAACTGTAGTAAATCAGCTTAAAATCGAACTGGTGAGGATAGTGAGTTCCATAAAGCTCATACAAAACGCTACCCAGATAATCGAAGCACAGGACTACTAAAAGTCCATTAAAGAAGTCCGTTCGTGGGCAGTCAACAGGCTGGCGCCTAGGCCTTTATGATGGCGCCGCCAGACGCATGCGGTAAAACGACCGTTCTGATGCTCATTGGGACGTAGCACGGTTCTGAAAATGGAAAAATACCAACTTCTGACACATTTTGACAATCGAAAGACTGATCTGCACTGTACTAACACCGTGGCCTTATCTTGTTTTTCCTCCTGCGGGGTTTCATGGGTGTTCGTGCCCTACTTTACGTGCACCTATTTGCTCCGGCAACATCATTTGGGTGCTTTCCACGCAGGGCACCAAATGTAGTTCTCTGGTGGCGCTGTTAGTGGACAATTAGTACGACATAGTACAATGGCGCATTGGTCCACCTAAATGGCGCCATGCGAGGTCGGGAACGAACATGCTGCTATCGCGCCCAGACTGGACACATCTCTTTGCTAACGTATGAAATATCAGTTTCTGACCTAACCTCAACCGCAAAGTGAGCTTATCTGCCTGAACAGATATACTCTCAAGCTCCTCTTTCACTCATCGATAGATTCATGGTTGTCCGTGGCGCTCTTTTGCACCGAAACCCAAAACTGAAGATGCTTTGCGAGAGCAAGTGAGAGTTGTACGATCCTCATGGATCTTCACGCAAAACTCAGAACTTGAAAATGAAGAATGTTGTGCTTCAAGATTATGAAAACATAATCGTGCTTCATGGTAGTCCAGAACGTCGAGATGATAAGTCAGCTAATGTCAAAATAATTTCGTCACCCGAAGCGAAAATGAAATTGGTTTTAATGCTAACACACAATCAGTCTGGGCGCTCACGGAGCCAAAGTCAAGAACGAGCGCCAAAAATGTCTTTATCTCACCAACCCGGCGAATGCGACAACAATAAGAAGCATGTGTGAAAGTTGGTACGGTTAAGCATGACACTTTAACGATGGCTGTCGTAATTAAAACAGCGATCCGTTAAGAGACTGCACATATTTCTATAATTTGGTCACCGTGCGGTATCAACACCGACGCCCAATCAGGTTGGACTTTGCCCGAGGGCATTTTTCCTCAGACGGTGCTCAACAATCCAGTTGAGCGATAAGAAGTTCACTACCAGCACCAATGCGGTTCCCTACCACTCTAATAAAATGCGCTTGTTGTGTAACGTTTTTTTGGAAAGCGTAACCTTATTAGCCGCATTTACAGCTAGAAGCAGGTGTCAAGGATTCAACTTGGGCCATGCTCCTGCTTTTAACGATAGCTGTTAATGAACTCATAATCTGCACTCGTTTATCGTTATAAGATCCCAGGAGAAATGCAGATCAGATAGGATTGCTATGCATTGCTCAAGGCAATTCCGCCTCAGTACTACTTTAATTCGTGCGTTTTTACGGTCATCTTCTCTTTATGACGCAATATTCTTCACAGGTTTTAACTTCCAAATGGTCCCTATCTGTGCGGCCGAGGACAAGTCAGTATTTCGGCGCTGTGTATATGCCAGGGCCCACTGCACCAAGTCGAAGCCGATGCAGCAAAAATGCATTCCGGGTGTGCAGCTGCGGAGCGGGCAGATGTCGCGGCGCGGTCTTTTTAATGTGGTTCGCCACAGCACAACGAATATCCCGTTGCGCAAGAGGCAATATTCCCGTCAGAGTAAATATGTTCACAAAGCCAGCGCAGAATTGCAGAACGAGCCACGCCACGCAGGCCGCACCCGAGAGCATCAGTGCACCGGATGCCCTTGCACGCCTCATACCCGCAGGTGTCATAGTGGGACCGGCCGGCGGCTGGGCGACATACAGCAAGCGCACCGACGCCCGTCCGGAAGAACAGCTCGGGTCCGGCGATATTACCTGGGTCGATATTAC